ATTATTTTCAATTATATATATGTGTCTAACATAAACTGAAAGATAATAAAGTCCATATAATAATGTGATTATTATTAAATATCCTTAGTCAAATATTGTTATGGGTATGGACAATAATAATATGTTTAAAACTAACGTGTTATTGATTGATGATAATGAATTGTCATTGACATAGAGATGTAGAATCAATGCATGAAAATGTTGTTAGAGAATGACATATTGGTTTGACCCACTATGAGCATGTGTCTTGGATTATTATATGAAGGTCACAACATTGCTCACGGTGATGACTATATGTATGATCCTCAAACTTGAGATCATTACTATCTCAATATATATATTGTTATATGTTTTGATACAGTTAAACATGCTTTGTAAATGGTTGCACTATAAAGATTGATATTGAACATATCTCGATATATGTAGTGGGATGTGAATTATTAATAAAGGATTTGTCCTTCCTAAAAAATAGGAAATGTATCACATGCCACTTGATTCAGTGAGACTAGAAATGCATGGCCATGCTTAAATAAGTTGATATGAGATAACACAAATTATTCGTTAATTATAGTCTACTCTAGATATAAGAAATAATAGATGGGCCATACAAGTGTGATTATTCCAAGACTTGTGCCTATTCTAGATATAATGGACAAAAGGATGTAATACATAAAAGAGTCAATCACGAAGATGATATGTCGAATCATAATTTCTTGTAACTTAGGTGACAATGATATATTGCTAGATGTCGCTTATTGTTTGTAATGTTAGAATGGTTCTAATAATTACTAGTGATGTTACAAGAACCTACAAGGTCACACCCTAAGGTTGAAATGAGCAAATATTAAATTATACAATATAATTAGAGTTAATATATGTATATTTAATACACATATAATTTAATTGTCCTAAATAAAATATGTAGACACTAAAAGAATGTAATTCTGATTATAATTCTTTTAATTAATATTATATTTGGAATAGTTAAAGAAGATTTTATTTTAGAATAATTAAAATAATATTAATTCAGAATTAAAAACCCTAAGGTTAGGGTAATTCGTGTATATAAAGATAAGAAAGGGTCTAGCAGCCGCTTCTTGATCTTGTTAGTTGATTTTCTCAAAACCGTTTTTGAGAAAAGTGAAAAATATTTGCTATTAATCGGGTGAACTAAGTAGATGCTGAGACGTTTTTGTGGAGGCTTGTGATTCAAATCGTTCGTGATCACTATTATCGTTGCTCCAATCTTGCTGTTTTTCAAGGAACCCAATGTAAGTAATCGTATCCCTTTCCTCCCGTTTTCGATTTTATCGTACATGGATCGCTGGTGAGACCATCATGTTTGTTTCTTTTGTGCCATGGGGTGCTCTGGCAGTTCCAACAGTGATATCAGAGCCACTCATACGATCCATATTCAGGTTAAAATTCTTGATTGATCCGATATGTATGAGATGCATGATTGTTTTATATTTTTTAGCGAGTATATATGATATAATTTTTTGATTCGATAAAAGGCATGGTTAATATGTTAATCTGTTTAATGAACTATACAATCAGTGGTTAAGAGTTAATATGTATTTATTGCTACAACGATTTATGATATTAACATGTTAATTGTTGACATGGTTATCGATGGGTACGTGATAACATATCACGTTTGGCAAAGTAATGGTTGTTCCGATGCCAAAAACCTTTGGGATTGAAAAATCCCAAAAACATGATTCTATTTATAAATGTTGTCAAATCGTGAGGTTTTTCCATAGAAACATAAGTGTTGTTTCTCAAAATTTTCGACTGACAGCAGCGGCGCGGCCAACCACGGCCCCCTTGACCCATTCTTAGGCAAAATAGATTGTAGGTCCATTTTGGTAAATTTAACAAATGCGTAACAACACATATATGATATGTTTGACTTGCACAATATTTGACATGCATGGTTATAGCCATTTTAATATGCAATGGTTGTAATTTGATAAATATATCATGTGTATCGTGCCTCTCTATAATTCAGTTTTATTTCTCTTCTCACCTTACTCCCTTGTATGTAAAGCAAGTTTCTAAAATTGTAATCCTATGAAGATTCAAACGACCAGAAGAATGAACTGACTTGAAGGCGAGAAGATGCTTAAAAAGCAGTCCTAGGTTTTAGGAGTCTTCGTTCTCTCATTGGCTTGGGATGGGCCACTTAGTTATTGTTATTTTGAGCTATAACCATTGAATCTTATTTACTACTTATGTTTATCTTGTATGTGATGCAAAGTATGATATGTTAGCATGCTAATATAAGAATGAACCTTGATGAGATCAATAATGACTTAATATTAAAACGAACAATAATGAGATAATTATGCAAGTCCCTCTAAATAATCTAAGTTAATTTTAATCGTCTAATATTTACTCTCGTTAAGGCTTCGATCGACATTATGTGGGTTTTCCAAAGCAATGGAACATGAGTCTATCTTAGTTAAATTCGAAGAATAAGCAAGTGATATTCACCGGTTTAAATATTGGTAATAACTTAGCTAGGTTATTCTGATAGGATTATAAACCTAGAGGTTAATAATTTGGATGAATCATGAGATGATTTGAATAAGATTTTTTCACCAAATGGAGGAGTTACATGTGATGTAATTAGTAAGGTGTTACTTACCTAAATAACCATTGTCCTAAAAGAAAATCCAAAGTTGATATAAGAAGAGGGTGAAATTGGATCCCCACTTACTAGAAAAACTTTCGGGATGATTTTTCGAAATTAAAACATGAGGTTTCTTAAATTTGAATAAAATAGTGAGAGTAATTTATTAATAATGACCTATTTATAAATTTTTAAACTAAGTAAATTTACTAACGTTGTAAATTTTCATTGTTGTAAACTTAATGGCAAACAACACACTTTTATTGCGATCGATCCTTGAGAAGGATAAGCTAAATGACATAAACTTCCTTGACTGGTTCCGTAATTTGAGAATTGTTCTCAAATAGGAAATGAAAGAATATGTCATTGAAGAACTTGTTCCTGATGAACTGACAACTATTGCTTCTAGAGCTGACAAAGACAAATTTAGGAAACATATGGATGATATGTTAGATGTGGGATGTCTAATGATTGCCACCATGACTCCATAGCTTCATAAGCAAAATGAGAACATGGTTGCATATGAGATGATTCAAAATCTCAAGGAATTATACGATGGGCAAGCACGTCAAAAGAGGTACTAGACATCTAAAGCTCTATTTCGATGCAAAATGAGTGAATGGTCTCCTTTAGGAGCTCACGTCATCAAGATGATGGGCTATATCCAAATGTTAGAGAAACTAGGATTTTCACTCAATGATGAATTGGCCATTGATATCATCCTGCAATCGTTGTCGGATAGCTTCTACCAATTTTTCCTTAATTTCAATATAAATGAAATTAACAAGACTTTGCCACAATTACTTGGCATGTTATAAACTGCTGAAACTAACATAAAAAGGTTGGACCTAAGCCCATTCTAATGGCCCACAAGGACAAAGGAAAATGAAAGAATAAAATAGTAGCAAAGTCTAAGGGTAATGGCAAGCCCAAGCCCAAAGGAAAGGATGCATTGAAACCCAAAGGAGGAGTTAGCAAGGAAGGAAAATGTTTTCATTTCGATAAGACTGGTCACTGGAAAAGAAACTGTCTTATTTACCTAGAAGAGGTCAAAAAGGCAAAAACAAACAGAACTTTTGTTTCAGGTATTTGTGTTATCAATGTTAATTTATCAACATCTACTTCTTGGGTATTAGATATCGATTGTGGTTCTCGCATTTTTACTTCTGTATAGGAACTGCAAAAGAGAAGGAATCTGGCTAAAGGAGATGTGGACCTACGAGTGGGAAATGGAGCAAGAGTTTTTACATTAGCTATAGGGACATTATTTTTTATCTTTGTCTAGTGGACTTGAGTTAAATTTAGAAGATTGCTATTTTGTGCCTAGCTCGACTAAAAACATTATTTTTATCTATTGTTTTGACAATATTGGTTGTGAGATTATTATTAAGAATAATTGTTGTTCTTTTTATCTATATAATATATTTTAAGGTTCGCCACAATTGGTTAATAGTCTCTATATTTTAGATCAAGAAAATACTATTTATAACATAAATACTATTTATTTCAAGAGTTATGCTTTTTGTAATGTTTTCTCATCCGCATGTGGTTTTTGAGATGTTAGTGATCTAAGACAAACATAAAAATTAGATCTTCAATAAAAGTATTATAAATCATAAGAATAAGTTAAACTAAACAATTTTGTTAATAAATTGGTATTTATTACGTTTAATAAACTATCTAATAAATACAACAAATTTTAAATAAAAAATATTAATAAATTTTATTAAACACCCAATTACTTGCATAAAACAAGCATGACCTCTTTTAAGAGAGTTCATATTAGATTTTAACCATCTCAATTTTATCAAAAATATAATAATTAAGTGAAAAAATAATTTAAAAATATCACATCAGTATCGCCATTCACTTTTTAATAATGAATAAAAAATATAACGTTAGATATAATTTTAAAAAATAATAATAATTAAATTCTCCTAATCAAAAATCTAGAAATTCTAAACTATCCAAAAGTCTCAAACCCAAAAAAATTAAAAATCTTCATTTTTTTTTCTTCAAGTAGCTGCAATGAAAAATCACTCTAAAACTCGATGAATCTTAAGCACCACATGATTCCAATTTTACACAGGCTTAAAGAAAATTATTGAAATCGATAATAGATTCTAAAATCTATCATTAACATATATTTACTAAAAAAATAAACAATTCGATGATTAAAATATAGAAGAAATCATTTTAATTATCAAAACGTCAGTGTCGTAAAAGTTTAGTTATTAAATTGAAATGATATTTTTTAAATGTTAGTGCTTTAAAAGTTGGGTGACTATTTAGGTAATTTACTCTAAAATAAAGTATTTATATATTTTACTCCTTTGTACATGTAATACAAAGCCCTATTCCCGCCTATATCTAAGCCCTAATTTCCATCAGCCTCCCTCCTTAAACCCTCCAGCCGCTTCGATCACCACCACAACCAATTCCCTTAAACCCTAAACCTAAAATGGATCCAAAAGCCGTGAAATCCGACTTGGTCCTTATCCTAGACTTCGGCTCTCAATACACCCATCTCATCACTCGCCGTATTCGTTCTCTCTCGGTCTTTTCCCTCTGCATCTCCGGCACTTCACCGCTTTCCTCCATCACATCGCTCAATCCAAAAGTTGTCATCCTATCTGGCGGACCACACTCGGTCCATTCCGATGACTCGCCTTCGTTTCCAAATGGGTTCGTTGATTGGGCACTGTCGAATGGGGTTTTTGTTCTGGGTATCTGCTATGGGCTTCAGTTGATTGTTCAGCGACTCGGCGGTGAAGTCAAGGTGGGGGAGAAGCAGGAGTATGGGAGGATGGAGATTGAGGTTGAGAAAAACTGTGGAATTTTTGGTGGGAAGAAGGTTGGGGATAAGCAGGTTGTTTGGATGAGTCATGGCGACGAGGCTGCTAGGTTGCCTGATGGGTTTGAAGTGGTGGCTAGGAGTCTGCAAGGGATTGTCGCCGCCGTTGAGGACAGAAACCGGAGGTTTTATGGATTGCAGTATCATCCTGAGGTAATTTGAGCTTTTGAGTTTTGTTTTTGTGTTATTAAGGTTCACTTTTTTTGTTATTGTTTTTACCTAATGAGTAGTAATAAACAAATTTCTTAGACATAACACCAATTCAAATGTGATATTTTCAGTCTAAAAGTAAATTTTACATATATTCTTTTAGCTGCATACGATTCTTGGCATCTCAGTAACAAACAAAACAGAATCAAATTTCATAGCTAGTTTGGTTTTAAGATTTTCTTTAATGGGTTGTAAAGGGGACAGCTTGTAGTTCTTGAAGCAGTTAAATGATGTTCTGACTAGTGTTTGTTAAGGTTACGCATTCACCGGAAGGGATGGAAACACTGCGATACTTCTTGTTCAATGTTTGTGGAGTGAATGCTGGTTGGAAAATGGAAGATGTAATGGATGAAGAAATTAAAGTGATCAACAGCACAGTGGCTCCCGATGATCATGTTATTTGTGCTTTATCCGGAGGTGTCGATTCCACTGTTGCTGCGACCCTTGTTCACAAGGCAATTGGGGATAGACTACACTGTGTTTTCGTCGACAATGGTTTATTAAGGTATAGTTGTGAAATATACGATATGTTGATAAACGTCTTGCTTCCATAATTCATTGCTTGATTTCCCTGTAGGTATAAAGAAAGAGAACGTGTGATGGAAACCTTTGAAAGGGATCTTCATCTACCTGTTACCTGTGTTGACGCAAGCAATCAATTTCTTAGTAAACTTAAAGGAGTGATAGACCCCGAGATGAAAAGGAAAATAATAGGCAAAGAATTTATCTGCATCTTTGATGCTTTTGCCCAAGAGTTGGAGCAAAAATTAGGGAAGAAGCCGGCTTTTCTTGTTCAAGGAACCTTGTACCCCGACGTTATCGAATCTTGTCCTCCACCGGGTTCCGGAAGAACTCACTCTCACACGATTAAAAGTCATCATAATGTTGGAGGGCTTCCCAAAGACATGAAATTAAAGCTCATTGAGCCACTTAAACTTCTCTTCAAGGATGAGGTTTCGATCTTGTTCCTTGTGCATATTCTTGTATAGTTGGCTGTTTCCTCTTCTAATTTATTTGTGCTTTTTTGCTTAATTTTTAAAGGTTCGACTACTTGGGAAGATATTGGAGGTTCCCGAGCCATTTTTAAAACGTCATCCATTTCCCGGGCCTGGCCTTGCAGTTCGAGTCTTGGGTGATGTAACTGAGGGCAATGCCTTGGATATTCTGCGGCAGGTAAGAGGCGTTTATTAAGTAAGTAGAATCATGTTTATAAAGCCTTTTATCATCATTTTATGTCATGAACTTGTTTCCCCAGGTTGATGAAATTTTCATTCAGTCCATCAAAGATGCTGGTATTTACGACTCGATTTGGCAAGCTTTTGCTGTTTTTCTGCCTATAAAATCTGTTGGAGTTCAAGGTGATCAAAGGACACATTCCTATGTTGTTACACTCCGAGCTGTTACAAGTCAGGATGGAATGACGGCAGATTGGTAAGTTTTTATCGCTCTGCAGTTCTTTGCTTTCGATGGTTGATGCAAGTATCTATGTGCTCCGCATTAGCCATAGTTAATAGTAAACATAAGCCTTAAGCTCGAATGTGTCTCTAAATATGGATTGGGTTCAAATTAATTTTATGCACATGAAGAGGGGGGATTGATGATTTAGGTAGGGTTGAATGATTTGGTTTTCCCAACTAGCGATATCGTTTGAAGGGGATTGTTAGTGTCGTACAGCATCGATGCTTAATGTGTTGGCAAACTAGGTTTTGGCATGTTACAAGGTTTCTCATTATATTAGCTTTTGTGTTGTTATGGATATTGAAATTGCAGGTACTGTTTTGAGAATGGTTTCCTTAAAGAAGTTTCTCAAAAGATTTGCAACAATGTTCGAGGAGTGAACCGTGTTACACTAGACATTACATCAAAGCCCCCTTCAACGATCGAATGGGAATGAATGAATGAATGATATATTCGTCGAGCATTATGATTTGTTTAGATGTCTGCATTACCTATTTGTCGATTGGGGTTTTTTGTTGTACTCTTGGTTTTAGAATTTTCATTACTATTTAACATTATATCTCAGTTGGCAGTTGTAATTGTATTTTCCTAGCCTACCTTATGGATGCTTTGCTTTTAGCCAAATGTGAAGAGTCTGTCTTTGTGGTGATTGGTTGAAATTGTTTTCATGTCAACTAGGGTTTGAATAGTAAGAAAAACCTTGGCTCAGAGAGAAAAAAAACTAAGTTAAAGAGAAAAAAAAACTAAGTTATTCTACTCAATTTACACCCTAATTACGCGTAACCAATAATCCATCAAGTATGAAAGTTATCTTTGATTAGTTAAGATAATTAATACTGACGTGGTATGCCTAGGGATTTAATGCCAATTTGGTATAATTTTTTAAAAGTGAATTTTAAAAGTGTTATAGAAATTGATTTTTACAAAATGTTCAATATAAATAATGATATGAATTAAAAATACTAGCATTTAAATTATATTTACTCTTATATATGAATTATATCAATTAAACTATTATAAATTTAAAAAAAATTGTTATTATATATAAATTATATCAATTTAAACAATAAAAAAATATAAAAATACAAATAAAAATATAATTATAATAAAAATACATTTTATATAATTCACTATTAATATTTTAATGTATAAATAATAAGTTCTATTTATTTTTAAAATGGTTAAAATAAAGTATTAAAAGTGATAAATTATTTTTAAGGATGTTAGTATTAAATTATAAAAATAAAATGTAAATACATAATTGAGTGAAACTCATGCAATAGTAAGTGAAAAATTATAATTTATTTCCAAACATAAATGAAAAAGCTAAAAGTTTTAATTTTTGCGGTTGATAAAACCATTGTTTCCACCATAGGTTTTTTTTGATTTTTTATCTGTTTGACACCAATATTGCAATCAAAACAAACTTTTTAATGAAAAAGGCTTTTAGAAAATTTTACTAAACTAACCCTTAATTGATTATTCTTTTCAACCTTGAGAATTTAATTGGTTTTAAGTTATAAAAATAGGACTTAATATCTCATTATCCATGTACTTTATTCTAATCTTTTATTATATATTTTTCAATATTATCAGCTTATTTTAAGTTATACTTATTTATTTTCAGTTATCTTCTTATACTATTATTCTATTCTCAATTATTCTCCTATACTACTATTTATTTTTAGTTATCCTCACTTACCGTTATCTTGCCTTACATGTTTCTCAAAGTATTTTTTTTTATTAAAAATCATTTGACCTAATCACAACGCATTGTGTTTTATAAAAAAATCTTAAAATAATAAAATAGCAAAAATATCTTTAAAAATTTTAAAAATTTAATTTTCAGAATTTATGGTATGATTTTATTTTGTTCAAAATTATAATTATCCTTAAATTCATAATATTATTTAAAATGTTAAAAAATCTTAAAAATAAACTTTAAAAATCAGTTTTAAATTTTTTTTCAGAATCGTTTTGTATTTCTTGTCTCTTTTAAAGAACTTAGAAAAAAAAAAATATCTTAAAAATACAAAAAAAAACCTAGAGATATTAAAATTTTATAGTTTTTATAATTTATGATTTGAACTTGTAATTAAAAAGGAAAAAAAATCTAAAGTTGATCTTGGAAGTTTGATTAGAAAGTTTTACTAAAATTTTCAATCTCTTTAAAGTAACTCTTGGAAGTTCAAAAAGAACATCTTCAAGACACTTGAATGCTTCAGTTTATTATATAAATCATAAAATAACAACAGTAAATAAAAGTTCAACAAAAAAATCACTTTTCAAATCTCAAGGCATAAATACTAACATTAAAATTTATCAAAATTATTTATTCACATAGCGAGACGAGGTATTATATTCTTTAAGATCAGTGATTTAAAATTCAATTGTTATGAATAGAATATACTAAATTGAAAAGGTTACTCTTATAATAAACCTATGTAATATGCAATTTCGATTAATATTTCATATATTAGTGATTATAAAAAAAAAAAAATCTGATTGCAATTTTTTTCCTTGAGTTTCTAAGCAATCGAAGATGAGGTTCAATGTGCCAAAAATATTTTAAAATATACAGTTAGTGAAAATTTATTTTGGGATCTATTACATTTATTATAATGTTTTTGAACTTGTTATGTGGGCATGGCGAGTTCTAATAAAATATTATTTTTTATTATAATTTGGAATGTCCTTTTAATAAATTCAATAAAAATATATTTTATTGAAACTCGACAGGTGGACATAACGAGTTTTAAAACACTATAATAAATACCATAAATCTCAAAATATATTTGAAGGTGAGATTTTTCGTTAATTAATTATTCCTAGTACATTATTTGCCTGATTTGGCCGAAGTTGATGGTGATTTTTTTTGTTAGATGAAAAACTAGCACTTAACAAATGTTTGTACATGTAATTCCTTTAATGTTATCCTATTTTTACAAACTTTCATATGTTTTTCTAATTTCTTTTCATTTATAACTATAGTTTTCTGTAAAATATATTTCTTATAATGTTATAATTTTTATATATTTTAAAATGTAATATAAACATTTATTGTCAATAATCAATTAACCCCGACATGAATATCATTTGCCACGCCGATACTAACGGAAGAAAAGGACTTGATTGATTATTTATTATAATACTAAAAGCTCAACTAAGTACAAATTGGCCCGAGAAAAATGTTTTTCTTATATTTTATTTTTAACAATTTTTTTTATAAATTCTAAATTTAATCCTAGCTCTACCCATGGGAAAAAAAGGAATGAGAGACTCTAAAAGAAAGATGCATACTTCTAGTGAGTCTCGATCTCATAACCTAAAGAAATATGAGAGAATAAAAAAGAACTTAACCATCCAACTAAATGTACTTGCTAATTTTAAACAGTTTTCTAGCTCTTAAACCAAAAATCTATAATAATGAAAAACTATTGTTATTTGTGTAGGTAGTAAGAATTCAATCACTGGAACATTCAAGTGTTGTTAATAAAATGGACAAATATGAATGTGAAAATCCTAAAATTTTATTTTTGCATTACACAAACGTACAGGAGACAACAAAAGCCAGTGGTTATTATTTTTTTCCCAAATTTGAGCTCCTCATGGAAGTCGCACGAGCTTGTTGACTGCCACATCTAGGGCATCTACATTCCTCTTCAAAACTTTCTTCACAAACATTAAGGAACCATATCGATACGACCATGGTTAATCTCTCAACTTTTTCATGTACTTGGATGCATGCTTGATATAATTGTTGGACACATACTTTAAAACGAAAACTCTGATATGGCTGTAAACAACTCAAGTCAAGCTTGAGTATTGCTAAGCTTGACTCAGACTCAAAAATTTAAAACTGAATTTGACTAGACTCAAAAGCTCGGCTCAAGCAAGAAAAAACTTGAAAACAAAACATTCTCAACTTAACTCGATTGAAGTTCAAACTCGGTTCAAGCTCGTTTCAAACTGAAGCAAATGAAACCAACGATAAACTCCTTTTCACAAACCTCAAGCTGAGAAAACGAAAGGAAATGGACAGTTCCTAAGCGGGGAGGGGAGATTGTAAGAAGAACGCAAGGGGGAGGGGGATATGACGCGGTTTTGATTTTTTTTTAAATAAAAACAATAATTCTATCAATGTGACACATTTTATTTAGGATTTTGGGATTGTGATTAAATTGAAATTTTTAAAGTTTAGTGACTAGAATGAAAAAGATAAATAGATTAGTGATGAATGTTGTCATTTACCCAATTTAAACAGTATTAACAGAAGACACTTGTTGCTTGATGTGCCACATTAGCACAAAGTAACGGATCCGTTGGTCAACAATAGAAAACATTGATTAAAAGACCACATTGGGTTATTTTTTTCGAGTTAAAGGGCCACATTGATCCCAAAAACACGATAGGGACCACATTGGTTTTTTTTGAAAAAATTAGAGGGCCTTTAATGCCTTTTTGCCTAAAAAAACTACTTTCAGAAAGAGGCTACAATCTATTATCACAAAGAAAAAATACAGCAAGATAATGAATAAAGGATACAGCTGAGTAGCTAGACTGTCCATGCCCTTCATTTCCTCATTCAATCTACATATAAGCAAAAAAAATTGCATTTGGTAAGGCAAATCAATATGGAAAAGCAAGTTCTTAGCATACACGTTTTACCCAAAACAAATTCTACCATGAAAACTAGGAAAGTAACGTTCCGAAAGAGATAGAAAGCTTCATCTGGTACTACTATAGAACTTGTTGATTTATTTGTAAATAACATGTTATCAGAAAATGCGATGATCATCCATTTTCTAATTGAAATAGTAACAATGCATACTAGAGACTAAATCTCCATTTCCTAACACCAGATACATCAATCAATCTCAGCACATAGATTGTTTTCTTACTACACCATTTATTTTACTGCATAAAATAATAACTAGAATCGATGCTAGATGTTTAGATGCCTTAAACGGGCCAGCAAACAGAGCACAGGGATACTACCTGAGACACGAATTTATATACCGGTTTCCCTTTGTTGCCGCATCAAGTGCTGCAAATCCAAAGAACGAGTTCACAATTTATATCAGAATCAGAAATCAATTTGACACAATGCAAGATTTCAGGAGGAAAAATAAGCCACAAAATAGCTCCATCAGACTCCAGAAGTGCAGTATGTTCTAATAAGTAGCACAACAGTTATATATTAAAGACACATTCACACACTGGTCCTTTAGTCGACTTTTCAAAATTGCATCCAGTGAAGATTAGTCAGCTTAATTTAGGATAGAAAACAACAAACTTTAAGGTTGAACAATTGCTAGAACTTGGGCGCTATGCCGTGTTAATCATCTAGAAAACATAAAAAGTACCCGTAAATAGTAACCCCGTTTTCAGGGGGGAAGGTACCCCGCGTATGTTTAATACATTTTACAGGAAATTACAAGAGCAAGCAAATAACAATAAAAACAAACAAAATTCTGCACCAATGATGTCAGTATAATGTTTAGCATTTCATTACCGGATTCTTGAAGACGCCCAACAGCATCGCCGAAGCAATGCATATGATCAACCGAGCCGCTAGTGACCTACAATTGACAATGGAAGTAGATTCCACATCATTCGCTTATTATGAATCGAAATTTCACATGTTAAGCATAACTGAATTCAAATTAGTCAGATTAAGGAAAGTAACATCAATGATGCTCCAATTCATTCCCCAATGATCTAATAAAGGAAGGTAAACTATCACATTCGATAGAACCCATTGAGTGGCCTCAGTAGTTTTTCTACTTGAGGTCTCGATTAGAATAGTTGCATCTGCTGGATTTGTGCGATATGGTTAAAATGATTATGAAAATATCCTATCTTTTAATCTCCCCAATTATTCAAAAAAAGAATTATCACAATGCATCATTTCGAAATTCAAAAACTGGAAAAGAAATACCACCGTATTCCATAATTGCCTAAAATTTTATGGAAAATTAATCAATTATGATAAACGACTTTATCGAGCACCATAAAGAAAGTATCATAAAATGTAAAATAAAAACAATTAAGTAAATAAAGTCGAAATCAGACCTCAGAGAGAGCCAAGCGAAGCGAATCAAAGAGGGAAGAGAAGCTATCGGCTATAGCCCGAGAGTCTCGCTCAACCACTTCTACAGCTTTCAAGATGTCGCTTTTGTTCAACGTCGCCTTCGACGCGCTGCCGTCGAGTCCAAATGTTTCCCGTTCAGCTTCGGAACACGTGGACAGTTGATCCGTGTCCTGTTTTCTGATCGTAACTTCCTCTTCTTTCGATTCATCTCTCTGATCTACTGCTGCAGCTGACGATGATTCTTCCATTTCCCCAATAATTAGTTGTTCACTCAGCTTTTTTGGTGTTTCTTCTTCAATTTTCACTGCGCTTGAATTATGGATCTGGGCTGCTAAAAAATGCTCTTCCCCTGGGCCTATATTCATATCTTTCAAACCGTTTATTTTAGTGGTAACCTATATTTAGTATTAAATATTATTTTTATTCTATTTTAATAGTTAATTTTATTTTTAAAAGCGTCTCACATTTAGTTTAGGTTTCACCACAAAGTAATATCGCGTGTCATCATTGAAAAAATAAAGAAATAACATGTTAACAGCTTTTTTAATTTTTTAATGATGAGGTACTAAATTAAAATATAAACTAAATGTTAAGCATAGTTTTGAAAAACAATAAAGTTTAGATACCAAAACAGAAATAAAAGTAATAATTTAAATATTAAATGTTTAGTTTACCCTATTTTAATTTAGTTCAAATTACTTTTTTTTTTTTTTTTATTACTTTATTTTCATAATATATTTACTTTATTTTTTTATTTTAAATTTTCTATAAATATTTTTGAAATTTAAAATTTTCAAATAAATTAAAACAAGTCATAATCTGTATATATTATTTATAGGTTGTTTTCATTATTTGAAATATAGAGCACTTATTTTTTTCATTATACAAATAAAAATTAATATTAAATTAAATAAAAATAAATTCGTTTTGATTTAAGTAATTACAATTCTTAAACTTTTACTCTATAAACCATTCAAACATTCTGTTCAACTCGAATTTAGATTTGCAGATTTTTTACTTAATCCTACTTAAACTATATCTATTTATTAATTTAATATTAAATTTATTTTTTAATCAAAATAGATAATTAAATTATTATTTTATTGCTATTTTATTTGTAACATTAACTCCGTTAGAAGATATTTTAAATAATAATATGTAACCTATCATGTCATCTTTTAATAATCAAAATTTATTATATTAATAAAATAAGCCTCAAACGAGGTTACAAGACTAGGGGAAAGCTAGAAGATAATCGCACAAAAAGTTGTAGAATCAAATTATAATAAATATGAAATAATGATTTAATCATGTTAAATTATTAAGAATAAAATACTAGATCTAGAAACGTATATGAATTTATTGGTAAGTTGAAATCTTTGAATATTTCTTTGGTTGTGATCTTCTATTAATATAGAGTTTTCTTGAATATAAAATATCTGACGAGATAAGAGAAAATACAAGATTATATGTTTCTAGTGGACCATAACCCTTTTGTCTTAAAAATAATATTTTTTAAAATTGTTTTAAAAGACGTTTTTAGATATTCGACCTACTAACCCAAAGGTCGATGGTGACTCCCATTCAATTTAATTCAAATCAATTCAAAATCACAATTTTCCAAAATAAAGTCATAATTTTTTTAAAATAATATTTAATTGTTTTATAAAAAAAATGGTTATGACAGAAGTTCCTAGAAGAACATTTGAAGGTGGAATGTTTTGAACAAGGCTTTGTGAATCGGTGTAGAAGTAGAAGCATAATGTTTAACACCAAGCTTAGAATATGGAATGCCATTTGTTCAGATAGAATCCTCTAAGCATTTTAGCTTTAGAGAACCTAATTTCAAACCCTTTTGAGGTTGAAAAAGTCTCGGGGGATAAACAACGATCCTTTCGTTCTGGAAATGGAAGCCCAAATTTAAGCTATGGAACTAAAAAGTTGTGTCACCCATGAAATACTACTAGACTTGCATTCACTGGTCAAATCCGAGACCAAAGACCTTAAGACAAGCCCGCATTTGTGTTCATGTTTTGAAGTTCTCAACCAAGACCAGCCAGATTACTGTGGTAGTCAAGGCAACAACTTGGGGTGGTCATTGCTTTGAAAAACTTCACAAAATCCCCTCATGTCAATAGAGAATGATGGAAGTGAAAACGAACCAAGACAACCAACAAAAAAAGAAGTCGAAAGCCAACGTATGACCCATATTGTCATCAAATGAGAGATTATCTAAATTCCCTTCGCTATCTTATGCCTCTATATTATATCCAAAGAGTATATTATTCTAACCTTGAACTAAATTTTAGTCTCGTCATTCTAACCATAGAAAGTTTTAGATTGAAAGTTTTGCACCCCAACATTACCACTTCCCAAGCATATGTTCTTTACTCGTTCAATCTCAAGGTATTATTCATTTTCTAAAAAAAAGTTTTTTTTTGTTTTAGCTCAAACTGTAGTTCCAAAATTTCTAACACTTGTCTTATTTTCTTGAAGGCTTTGCTTTGTTATTTTCTAGGGTTGTGATGGAAATGAAAACGACAGATGAAGGTCAACTCTGAGCTAAGATCAACAGATGAGATAGCAGCATCAATTCATCAAATATTCAGCTAATTCAAAGTTACAATGTTAGGGATAAATATTTTATAAGTTAAAAGATAAAATGAATTATTATATATTAATTTTACTCTTATATAAATGAAATCTTACATATTACAAATTTAAAAAATAAATTGAATCGAATCAGGTGACTAAAATGAAAAAAAATTAAGTTTAGTGATGATTTTAAAAAAATAAATAGTTGGATGACCAAAATAGAACATTTGAAATAGTTGAGTAATATGTAATTTACCCTTGCTATTTTTAACGGAGTTAACAGTTTGGGAAAAATGAGATAACAATTTAAACTTCAAGAGGCAAAACATCCCTAAAAATACTTTAGGGGTAATGATGCATTTATGCCTAAATCTTATAACCCCTAAATTTCTTAGAATAACCAAAGTAGTTGTTTATTGTTTTAGAATTCAATTTCTCATCATACATCCTAATGTATTACAAAAGAGAGCAACCATTTGTAACATGTTGTCTCTTTTGATTTGGACCTTTAACAACTATATTCTGATTTTATTTTTGCTCTTATAATTATATGCAATTTTCAAAAGAGTAATTTCATACTTATTATGCTTCAACATTTCTTCCTCTTGCACATAATGAAAAATGAGCTCATTTAGAGTTAATTTATCCCTTTTAGTTGATTAAATTCTATAGGAAACAATACTGAAATAACAAGAACAAATAAATTTTTAGAAAAACTCAATTGTCGTAACCGTTTCCCGGCAGGACAATCGTTTAGTTGTTTTAAAAACAGTTACGACTTTTTATTTTAGAAAATTGGTGATTTTGAATTAAATTGGATAAAATTAAAAAGAGTTGCCATCGACTTTTGGGTTAGGCAGGTCGAATACCTAAAAAGCGTTTTTTAAACAATTTTAAGAAAAATTATTTTTAAGACAAAAGCTGGTTTGAGTTTACCAAAGATTTGATTAAAACGGGTTCGGGAGTCGATTACGCGTGGGGAATGATTAGCACCTCCACAGCGCCCAAAATTGGTACTGTGTCACTTATACGTTATCGTAATGATGGAAATCCTGAATTAAATATCAAATTAAAATATGATCCATTTATTGAATATTAATTAATTGCTTCAAATTAATAACTTAAAGTAGGAAATTCAAAATATCGAAATGAAAACAAATAAATATTACAAACCAAAATACACATGAGCAAAAATAAGTATTTAAGCTTATAAAGACCAGAATGTAGAAAAAAAACTTAAAGAATCAAAATAGTAAAAACAGAAACTTAAATGATGTGAGTACACCAACGCCACCTTCAAAGGATATGGAAGTAATGCCACAAGGACCAATAACTCGATCAAGGGCCAAACTTTTCAGGAAGCTCTTACTACCAAATGCATTAAAACCTTTGAATCATTTAGAAATGCATCCCCAAACAATAGATTATATAATATGTTTTATGTTGACATATAATATAATCTATGAACCACATATTTATATCTTATATTACTTAGTTTATAAATGTTTTCTTTTGTAGGTACATGTTCGGCTACATCATGGGAGCTGACTTAAAGCTAGAATTGGAGTCAATAAACTAGGAAATCTTACATAGGATGATTCGGGAGATCATGAAGAACAAATGGTGAAAAGTTGCTAGCTGACCCCCGAGCTCATAGCTCACTTGAGTTGGACTTTTGAGCTAGCTAGAGACCTCATTTCAGCTGGAGAGTTGCACCATCATCTTCACCACACAGAGCACTACAAATATGGTCTAGGTCAAACTCATGGGAAGTAGCTCAAATGATGAAAGGTTGTTTCACACAAATGTGACCTTTCATAAATAGTTGCTGCCCCATTGATGCCATGTCACCTAGACACATGTTTGATACCAAGTCACACCTAAGTTGTTGTTCATCTTCACGCCATGGAGGAGTCCACGCCTTAAGCATTCTACACCATCCATGTGAGTGCCACATGACCAGCCACCCATGTGCTTTGCATGTGAATGAAATAGGCGCCAAAATGAAGAGGCTTCTCTCTATTCGGCCTAAACATCATCATGCTTCAAGTTGGCGCCAAGATGAAGAGATGTGGGAAACATTCGGCCAAAGACATCTCCCCTCATCCAAGCATCATTTATTTTCGTTTTAAGACATGTACTTTGCCGAAAAGGCATGTATTTATTCGGCCAAGCCTTTACAAATCTATAAATAGGCTTTGGCATTCATTTGTAAACCGAACCCTTTTGATAATTAAAAACCTTTTGTGAGATTATTCTCTCTTCAAGTTCTTTTTAGAACTATATCGATTAAGCAAGCCTTTCTAAAGCTTGTGGCGTCATTCCTTCACCTTGATACTTCTAGTTCATAGTTTAAATAACTAGTGGGTCAAAGTCCTTTCATACCATCCCTTATAAAACTTATAAGAAACGGGTCTTTACTCCTTTATAGCATTGGTTCCTTCTTAGTTTTATAAGATACAATCTGTCCATCACCATTATCACACCTATATCATCACCATAGTCCATCACCATTATCATGCCTATATCATCACCATAGTCCATCACCATTATCACGCCTATATCAACACCATATTCTATCACCATATAACGCCTATATTATCACCAACTTATAAATTTCCATTTCTTCATCTTTGAATTATCCTTCATCCTCAACAAGGCATTCGTCCATCACCACCATTGGAGGTCGAATTCATCATCACT